ACGTACTTGCGCAGGCGCGCTGTGCGCGGTCGGCCGAGCGCTCCCATTTTGAGCCGAGCTGCGCTGGGCCGACTCGGCGGCCTCCGCGCTTCTCTGCCCGGCGCCCTGGGCGATGCCTCGCTCTGTCCTAACTCCGCGGAGTCGTTCGCCGCTCTGCAAAGCGTTTTTACTAATGTGCTCGGCCTTCTCTGCAGAGCCTCCCCTCTCTTCCCTGCTGAGACAGCGCGGAGACTCTCGCCGACCCAGCCTGTGATGCTGTTATTGCCAGACCGCCAAAACCTGTTCTGGGAACAAATGTGCGGCCCGCGGGTTCGGGCGTTGGAGGTGGTCGGGAGGCGGGTCGCCGGGAGCGCCGGGTGGCGCCGAGCGCAGGTGGAGGTGGGCAGCTGGCTTGTTGCAGAGCTCCAGGCTCAGGCAGCGGCAAGCAGGGGACCTGGCCTGGGACAGTGCACGTGCCCTTTGCCAAGACCTTAGTGAACAGGCGGAGGTGGTGGTCGTTGATGGCATTCCCCACCTTTTTGCGCCTTAGAAAATGTTTCGCCTCTCATTTTCTACCTAAACAATTTTAGGGCTGAAAATGTGTTTAAAGATCATCTAAATCCAACCCCTCGTTTTTTCAGACGAGGAGAAGAACGCCCAGAAAGATGAAATGACTTACCCAAAGCCACGCAGCGTTTCCATGACAGCCTAGAATTCGTTCAAGGCCAAAGCTGTTCTTTTACACTATTTCACCTACCTTTCTTTCTCCTCCTTTTCGTGTCCCTTTTCAACCTAGACTTCAGAGGCACCATTTTGTTCTGTCGGTAACACAGGAACGTGAACGTACTTAATATTGCTCAACTGTACACTTAAACATGGTTAAAATGGTAAATGGTATGTTATGTATATTTTACCACAATTTTTCAATAAACAAATAAATATTGAGTATTAAGCTTAGCCTTAAGTATAGTTTCCCATCAAAAGGTGAGCTATGGGGAAAAGCATAATAAAAGATCTAAAGTGACATTTTCAATTTTCCTAATAAACATATACTTCTGCAGTACCAGTTGTTTTTCCTTTAAAGTAATGTTGATCTTTAGGCTGATTCTAAGTAAGCCAACGTGTCTTGTGGAGCCAACACTGCCTTTACCGAGGGTGAGGAGGAGGCAAATATCATATGTGAAAAACCATGTGTGCCTGCTTTATACACTTCCAGATTCCTTGTATCTGTGGAGCCTGTGGAAATGTGCAGCTATATGAATTTTTATGCAATTTACAGTGTCTTGAAAACTGTCAGGTGTAGGACATATCAGAGCTCACAAGAGGAGGTGGAAAAGATGTAGAAATTATCACTGAATGTATCAACATGACTGAATCTCAGAAATATAACACTGAGTGAAAAAAGCAAATTACAAGGTATGTAAATTACTATACCTGTTTAAGAACACCTAGCCCTATTGTTTATGGACAATTAGGTTACACAGCAATTTCTCATGACACTGGTTGCCTCTAGGCAGGTCACGAGGGGAATGAGATCTGGAAAGTGCACAAAAAAGGTTTCAACTATTAATCAGACACAGGAAACAAAAAGGTTAATATTTTTTAAAGTCTTGGTGGGAATACAAGGGTTTTTCTTATGCAAATCTCTAAATTTTATGTTTGAAATGTTTCGCTTAAGAGTACTGTTGAAGTATCACAGACGCTGAGCTGGTGTGCTCACAAGGAGCACAGCGTGAATGGTGTCACTCAGACTGGGGAGTAAGTGTGGGGGACGAGCAGTCAGACTGATGAGGTGCTGGACAAGAGGAGGCTCAGAGGGTGCTGGTTGAGAGGACAGACAAAAGGAACCTTACTTTCAGGGATAAAAATATTAACATCCAACAGGGATAAAGTGCGATGCTCTCTTTGATCCCATCTCTCTTTCATTCCATGTTGTAATCACCTATAGAAAGGCTTTAGTGAGCGGGAACTTTCACAGAGGACAACAGCAAGCACTCTTACAGTGTGTTGTTAAAACTGGTCTCTTTCTGGATGAACCCGTTTTGAAATCATAAATGTTAACTGGCAATACAGGGTAATTCAGTATTACAGCGATATACCTTCCCTAGGCCACCCTCCACCACCTTTGTTTATTCATATACATACAGCCTGGTTATGTGAAAAAACCACTGGAATTCAGACAACCTAGCTTCTAATTTCAGTTTGGCCACTTAGAGATCTTTAGTTAACTCAAGGAAATAAACCATCTCTATGAGCTTCACGTTTCTGTTTCTTTTTAACTTGGAGATACACAAACACTGCCTATTTTAAAACTGAAACAATACAAACATAAGGTTTACATTTGTTTAAGTTGGAGTAGAGTATATGCTTACCTATTTTAGTGAGGAAAGCCTTTTTTGTTTCTTGGGGGGAGGGTGTTTTTTGTTTTGTTTTGTTTTTTGTTAGCTGCTGCCCATAAGAACTGCTTTACATTTACTAAAGGGGCTCTGTCTGAAATTTTGAATTTTGGGTTATTCTCCAGCACTTTATAGTTTTATCACAGCAGTTATTACTGTGGGGCCTTACATTATTTACACGTTGTATTTTCCAGTCTTCCTCATTAGATTGTTTTTTGTGTTTTTTTTTATAATCCTTGCATTCTCCGCCCTTGATTACGTGGCGGGTTCTCAATAAATTTAATTAAAGTCGACGGATTGTAAAATTTCCCACGTTTGGAGTTATTCCTATTAAGGCATGCCATCTGCTGGTTCCGCGATGTATCTGTCACTCAGCCTGAATTCCTTAATAATCCGATCAATTAAAATTCACGTTGAAGCCTTTGCGAGTCGGCGTGTTTGCCGGTTTTCCCACGTCCTCCCGCTTCCTGTGGCAGGTGCTGGTCTTTCCCCGAGCGGGTCGCGAAGTCCTTTTCCTCCAGCCCTCTTTTACCTGTTGGCCACTCTTAAAACCTGGAAAAGCGGAGTTTATTTTTTCCGAGGCTTGGAGTGACCGGAGCAATATCACTGGGCACGCTCGGGAGGTTGGCCTGATTTGGAAAACAAATATGTCTTGCACGAGGGCTTTCGGTACTGCTGGTTTCAGGATTGGGTGCCTCCCCGCCTTAGCGTTACCTTGGGCGATTGCGGTTCCTCCCACCCTGGCGCTCGCACTTTTTCATTACATCCCTGAGCCTAATTTTGGAGCCAGCCCTCCCGGATCTCCTGGCCAATCAAGAGATCACACATTGTTGCCTGAGAGACCCCGGATCCCAGCGAAAGGATTTATAGCTGGTGATTGGACTCATGGAAGCCGGGGGGTGGGGGCTGGGCCAAGTCCAGGAAAAAGCAGCTATGGCAACGCCGGCGCATGAGGCTTGAAGAGGGAGTCGAGCTAACAGAGGTGAGGCCGTGGGTAGTGCATGGAAAAGATGGAGACTCCCTTTCCCGAGCTTCACTCTCAGAGCCTCCTGGGTCTCTCACAAGCCTTGTCGGCGCTCCTGGGGATTATATTTTGCTCCGTTTCAGCTGCAGGGAAAGTGCCAGGTGCTTCATACTTAGGAAATTAACAACCAACAAATCATTATGTCTGTGCCTATCAAGCACTAGCTCTTTTTATTGTATTATAGTTTTTGCTTTCTAATTAGTTGACTCAAAGATGAATTCGTATTTAAATCTAACCATACCCTATTGCTTGGTATTTTCCGGATAATATCTGAGGTTCCCTTTCTCTGATGATACTGCAGTGTACGGTGAGTGAGTTGTGTGTTAGCAGAGAAACTCAATTCTATGCTGCTCTGTCAACTCCAACGAAACACTGATAAGCCTGAGTATAATCCCAGTGCTCGATTCATAATGTTCTGAGTTTCACCCTACGTTTCCACTGGTTTTAATCCTTAAACTATCCCCTCCACTGTTGCATTCATTCATTCAATTGATTTAACAAATATTTATTGAGCATCTATTATGTACTGTGAGATGAAGATTCACATGAGCAGCTGAAAACCACACAAGCAAAGAAGCATCAGAGTTTTATTTATTTATTTTTTTGTCTGAGGCATCAGAAGTTCAGTGCGTCTGGGCAGATAGTGCAGGAAGGGAGAGATAGGATAACGAGGCTCAAAAGGTAGATTGAGGTAAATTCATAGTGGCCCTAGATTGCATGCCCAGGAGCCTGGATATTCTGTATCCGTTAGCAAGCCTCTGAAGGGTTTGGAGCTGAAAAGGGACATGATCAACTGGCTGGTCTTTAAAAAAATACCTCCTTAAGTAGAATGGTGGTTACCAAGGTGGGGCGGGGGTAGATATTAATCAAAGAGTACAAACTTTCAGTTATAAGATGAATAAGTTCTGGAGACCTAGTGTACAGCATGGTGACTATAGTTAATAATAATGTAATGTATACTTGAAATTTGCTAAGAGAGTAGATCTCAAGTATTCTCACCACACACACAAATAAATGTAACTATAGGAGGTGATGGAATAATTAAATAGTTTGATAGCTCATTTCACAATGTATACATATATCAGAACATCACTGTGTACACTTTAAATACATATAATTTTTATTTGTCAAGAAAGGAAACTTTCTAACAGTAAGCTCCATTAAAGCAGAAACTCTTGCCTTTGTACCTCTAATACAGGCCTAACAGGTCCTAAGCAAAGCTGAGTAATATGTGGAGAATGGCTTGGAAGATAGAATTAGAGATGCGTGGCCACTGGAACTTTACCAGAGGACCCATCCTTGCTGTTAAACATGGAAATAGAACCATACATTGGGAGCTAAGACCATAGGCCCTCTTTCTTCCTTTTTATCCAAAGGAAAATTAAAGACAAACATTCAGGAACAGCCATGAAGGAGGAAAGAGGTCACAAAAAAAGCAACAGCAGCTTTGTATGTGGAAGGAGGGGGAGACAACTTGCTTTGTCTTGTTGATGGAGCGGGGCAATTATTTTTGTGTACACTATCTGAAAGTGTCTGTCTTTATAATAGCCCTGAGTGGTCTATCCGTGAACATGTGTGTGCATGCAGATACACACACTGCCTAACTTCTGGTATGAAGGGAGAAGGGAAAAGTTGTTAAAGGATGAAGACAAAAGACAGGGTAGAACACCCCATTTTCATGCTTCAGCAGGGCTTTATTACCAAGAGGGCTGTTTCTCCTCGCCAGGCCCATCTCCTGATACCAATTTCCCTCAAGTTGATTTGAAGAAAGCTTAGTTCAAATTATTTCTAGCTTTGAGGAACCAGGAAACAAAACAAAACAAAAACCAATGCAGGGTCCCTTGGGGAGGCCCTAGAGAAGCTTCTTTGTCCTAATTCAACATTTTTGCCTAGCTCTTTTCCTACACGAAGTGGAAAGAGAGAGTTTCTCAGCTTACAGCAGGAGTTTTTAACCTGGGGTAAGCAAAATTTTATGTTCATGTGCATTTTTCTAGAGACAAGATTCATCTCTTTCATCACATTCTCAAAGAGTTATTTGGTCCTCCAAAAAAAATTAAAACAATGGGTTTAATAAGAAGGAAGGTCAAATGTAAATAAATAACAACAACAAAAGAAATATGTCGTTTTTAACTGAGCAGATCTAGACTCAGGGACCAGGCTTTGTATCTATAATTTTCCTGCTCACATGTACTTTTATAGCTGCCAATTAGTAATACTGCAATGAAATAATTTCTTATGCCTTTTGTAACTTAGCTAAATATGTGTGACTTAGATAATTAGCAGTTGGGGGGGGGGCGAGAAGAACATGAGGGCTAATCTGAGCCCCCTTTATTCCAGTGGTATTATGGCAGCAGGTATTGTCTAATGATGCCACTGAGGTTTGAAAACATTGGCTTTATCTTCAGCTATAACTTAAACCTGAGAGAGAATGTTACATATCAAGTGAGAGCCTCAAAGATTTCAGATCTAGCATTTGGGGGAATCCCGTATCAACCAAAAAATAATTATTTTTTAAAATTATTCAATACTTGCTACTGTAGGGTAATTTTTGGAACCCATAGATCAGGCAGGCAAGCCCCAATCCCCTTAGTCATCACCACTGCCTTTCACTATGAAACCCACCTTCAGAGAGGAAGGAAGGCAGAAACACGGAGGATATACATTGGAACTACCATCAATCTGCTTCAAGTGGTTTCCACCTCAAACTGTTTTGTCATGGCCCTCTCTAAAGGACAGGTACTGAGGCCCTCTGTGAATGATAGGAAGTTCTACGAAAGGCTGCAAGGAAGTTACTACTTACTGAGGCCACCTGTCTGTCAGGCAGTCTCCTGGATCCCTATTGTCTAATATTCACAGCAGCAGTTGAATGTAGATATATACATTCTTATTTTACAAATGAGAAACTGAAGCTCAGGTCGGTTAAATGACTTGCAAAAAATTATATAGCTACTAAGTTGTACAGCCAGGATCAAACCTGTCAAGGTAAAAAATGTTAGTTTTAAACAATAGAAACAGATCCTTGCTAACAGAAGCAAAAAAGGAAATTTATTGCAAGGATATCATGTGGCTCACAAAATGGACAAGACAAGAGGCTTCTGCGGAACGAGGCAGCAGGAACAACTTAACAGAGCACCAATGCTACTTCCAATGACCACCTCAGCTGTAAAGTAAGGATAAGCCAGTGTTGGTCCAACTGGCCTACCTCCATCATGTGAACACCTCTTGGCCGGGGAAGGGGAGACCACCTTGATTAATCAACCCAGAAAACTCTGAACAGTGAGGGAAAAGTAATTCCTCATGGAAATTATAGTGCTTTATTCAAATGAAGGCAGACATATACTGGGCACTTAAAAATAGCACATTTCCCCCAATGAACCCAAATCTGTCAATCTCCAAAGGTTTGGTGGTGTATATTATATCATTCTACTTCTTAAATATGGTATCAAGCTAGAATCCGTGTAATCTGGACATCAAAAAGTTAAGGGGGGAGGAAGAAAGTCACAAGAGACAAGGATGGAGTGATTAACATTGCACTATAATTTTATAAATTATAAAATACCTCTTCTTTCTGGCCAATATGGTATGTTCTTAGCTAGGAGTAATTCTGGATTTCCCTCCACGGTCCAATGAAAGTAGAGTTAAACAGACCTGGGTCTGATTTCCAGTTCTAGCACTTCCTGTCTGTATAATTTTGGGCAGAGCATGTAACTTAAACAAGCTTCAATTTCTTTATCTATGTAATGAATTAAAAGCTACCACCTCACCAGAATGTTATGAACTTTAATTGAGCAGACATATGAAGTGCTCCCAATAAATGTTCTTACCCTCAATCTCTCTCAACATACTAAAAGATTATATGGTATTAGTATTTTTAGTAGTCTGAAGATTATATGATTCATTTCTTTTGATAGGTATAGTTTTTCTTATGGAAGAAAACCCAATTATTTCATGATGGCATTTGCACCTCCAAAAAGCACAGATGGTCCCAAAATGCAGACAAAGATGAGTACCTGGACACCCTTAAACCATCAGCTTTTGAATGACCGGGTAAGTGACCAGAGCTATTTTATCAGTTGCATCCATGCTTTAAAGCAAAAAAAGGTATTTCCCTGGCCTGGTTGCTCAGTTGGTTAGAGTGTTGTCCCAAAATGCCAATGTTGTGGATTGGATCCCTGGTCAGGACACAGAAGAATCAACCAAGGAATGCATAAATAAGTAGAACAATAACTCTCTCTCTCTCTCCTTCTCTCCCCCTCTCCCTCTCAAGAAAAAAAATCAATTAAAAAATAAATAAATAGCCCTGGCCGGCGTGATTTGGTGGTTAGAGCATCAGCCTGCACAAAGGTTGTGAGCTGGCCCCTGGTAGGGGCACGTGAGGAAGGCAACCAATCGATGTGTCTCTCTCACATTGATGTTTCTCTCTCTCTCTCCTCTCTTTCTCTCTCTCTCTCTCCCCCTTCCCCCTCCTTTCCACTCTCTCTGAAAATCAATGGAAATAAATAAATAAATAAATAAATAAATAAATAAATAAATAAATAATAAATGCATTAAAAGTTTGTTTATCAAAATGTGAACAGTGATTGTTTAGAATTGTGTAATGGATGAAAAATGAAGGGTTTTTTTCAAAAAATTTTAATTGAGCCCTTGCTACGTGGGCAAGGCTGGCAATAGACACAGAGTCGCTACCTGTGATGAAAATGTCTTTCTTAGATTTGTTCTTTCCTCCAGTCACTGCTCCTCTCTCTCACTCCAAATGCCTTTTTTCTTCTATCACTGCTTCTCTGCTGGAACCACCAGGAATGAGAGAGCAGAGGGTAGTCTATGATGAGTTCCCTAAAAATGATAAAGGAAAGAAAAGTAAGGAATAGAAAAGGAGAGACCAGGAGAAACAAAAGAAAAGGCAGAGAAAGAGAGAGAATCAGCTGTCATCTAGCCATGAACAATATAGGTCTATTGAAAGTCTTTTTTATTCAGCTTAACAATTATTTGTTGATCACCTGTTTGCAGTGCTCTTAGCTCTCCAACAATTTATATAACAGCTTCTCTGCTTCCCATCCCCACACCCAGAATTTTAATGTTTAGTTTTGAAATCTGTTTTCCCATAGAATGGTGAAGGCTTTACACATGTGTGAAAAAGTGACTTGAATTGAAATACATATTCATTGGATGCCTTGAATTTCAGAAATTTTCTTTGAAAAATTAGAAGTCTTAAGTAATTTAGGAGCTATAGAGAAGAGAGTATCTTAATTGCCTGATGGCCTACTGTAGACTGGGTTGCTAGAGAAGCTGTCTCTGAGATTGGCATGTAGGGTATTCCTTGGGGAGGGCTTTTGGAGATCAGCACTGGGGAGGGAAGGGAGGGGAGGGGAGGGGAGGAGGTTTGGGGCAGAGGAAGAAGCTGAGCTGTGATGTACTCTCAATAAGGCCTCCATTGACCCTGTAGCCACCCTAAAGATCCTGGACAAGGCAGATCTCTCAAGCTCATGACTGTCAGCCAGTAGCACTCCCAGCAGGTGTGTGTGGGGGGGGGAATAAATCCTTCAGTCCTGGAGTGGATTCTGGGCAGTATATTACAGCAAGCATTGCATTGTCTTATCTTGGTTCTTGACTAGCTTTCCTCAAATTGAATGATAATTTCTGGAAATATTTATTTTGTCATTCAGACCTCAAATTTTATCCCCCCAAAATTTATTTTCTGGTTTAGTTAAGTTCTAGTTTGGAGTAAAATTATTTTTAAAAATCCCCCGCATATGACTAAATGTAAATAAGACACACACACAGAGTTTGTATATGCATATACCAAACTATTAGTAGTGGTTTCAACCAGAGTTGGACATCATTAGGGGAAGTGGTAGAAAAGAGCTTTCATTTTTTACTTTATACAGTGCAATAAAATTTCAAATTTTAAAATAATTCTAAAAACAAATATAAATACAACTAAAGAAAGAACAGTAAGCAACTCTGGGAATTGAACATTCTGGTTCCAGATCAGCTGTACCAATAATTTCCCATATGACTAGAGTAAGTCCCTTGCCTTCTCTGGTCTTTGCTGTCCTCCTTTATGAAATGAGTAGGTTGGATCAGATGACCTTGAAGGCCCCTTTCAGATCTAACATCCTGACTACGTGAAAGGGATTAAAAATAGATGCCAAGGATACAGCTGGTCTGAAGGTGTCCATACAATAATTTCAAGGGGTTTTCTACAGTTCTAAAACAGGGCACTTGTCACCAATGATCAGTGTAATTTTGACGCCCTGTTTTTTGTTTTCATTTTAATTTTCTTCTATTCTGCAGTAAAACGTGAAATATGTAACCATCCCAGACTAAAATAAGAGTCACAGGATTTTACCTTCATTGAAGGCTTTAAACAGAAAGACTGAATTCAAATCCAGCTGCCTAAAAAAGCATCATCATCAACATAGGCAAATGTAACAGATTTCAAAATAATTCAGGCACTGTGAATTTTGAGAGGGGGAATGTTTTAAAAGTATATGTATTTCTTGGCCATCTAGCATTTGAGTTGAAAGTAACCAACATTTCTTTTCTAGTATGGCTCACAGATCTGGGTATTCTGAGAAAAAGCACCTAGTTACCATCAGTCAGTCGTCATTTGGGAGCCCCTAACGTCTTACTCCTACACTGTAATGATGCCACATAGTGAAATACGTTAACGGCAGTGTTGATAGCCTGAAATAACAACGTAGGATTTTGATTTAACAGCAGGCTCTGAACGAGCTGTGTTATAAACATTCTACAGGGCAAGAAGATCCATTTTAATATTTCCATTTCAAATCAATCCTTTGTCTTCTAGCTCGTTAAGGCGAACATGGTTGCAAATCTTTGAAATGAAGGCTTGCTCCAAACCAGAGAATATAAGACCGACTGAGGACCTGACAATTAAATAATTTGTCCCAAATTGTATTTCTTGTCTATGGTAGAGTCAGAATCAGATCTCAGCTCCTTTAGTGTTTTTCCTCCCCCTTCACTCCTGTCAATTTCTACTTGGGTCTAGATGCCTTTTAATAAAGAACCGGATTTGCTTGGACCCTGCTTAGACTTGGTCATTGGCCCTTTGAAGACTTACCGTTTTAGCCTGAATAACATTTCTGAACAAAAAGCGTTTATTTGAACAAAAGGATTGCAATCCGATAGATTCAGGTAGCAACCCAGACTGCACTCGAGAATGCAAGCAAAGGAAGGATTTATAAAGGCGAAAACTGCAAAATGTAACCCTTTCATGCAGATGAAGGATTGCTGGCAGGGTCACGGGGATTGGTTAGTTCCAGAATGCAAATGGGGGAGGCAGACACTACAGGGAAGGAAGTGAAGTCCGTATATGTCCATGTAGAAGTTGTCCCAGGATGTTTGTGGCTTCAGGATGTTCATCACTCAGCCTTGAGGTTAGTTTACCAGCAGGTTTAGCAACATACATGCAGCTCTGAGGACTGAGGCACAGCCTCCTGACTCTGTTCTCAGGGACTCTCTTAGCAATCTTGATTCCCTTTATTTTCTCCACTATCACTTGGACCCTGCTTAGACTTGGTGGTTGGCCCTCTAAAAACTATCGTTTTAGCCTGAATCACTCCTCACCTTCCACCTTACTCCTTTCCTGCTCCTTCTAGCTGATTCTCCTCCCCGCTTCAAGTCAGGGCCCCTTCGTTTCCAGTGGTCCATATTGTCACTGGCCACCATGATGGTCATCCCATTCTCCTTTTGAAAGGAGATTGTAGTCTTGGGGTCTAAAGTTTTCTTCTCCCACTGTAAGGCCAAAGCGCATCGGATGGGAAGGTGGGCTAGGGGAGACCAAGGTTCTAGTGAGGAGCCAGGTACAGAGTTGAGCGGAACGGATAGCCTGCAACCAGTGATTTTTAAAAATCTATAAATGTGACCATGCTGGGCCTCTGGTTGACCTCTCTAAAACAAGAAAATGAAGCAAAAAGATCTTTAGGATTTCTCTGAGATCTAATATTCTATGACTTTTGAAGCTTTTTTGTTGTTGTTCAGTTAATAGGTGTTTTTTGAGGTCCTGCCACAGAACCTGTGGAGCTTGTAGAGAAAAATGGTTGTAATCTCCATGGGAAGATAAAATGAACAGAAACAGTTAGAGAGCCTTAGCAAACCCTGTAGAGACCAAGTGAGCGTGCGCTGTAAGCACATATGAGCGGTATCTGAGTTGGGGGAAGCTAGGTCCCTGGACATCAGGAAAGTGGTGCTGACAACTTGGTTTGGGTGGTAGATGACTGATTGGATTTGGTTAGACAGAGGAGAGGAGTTCAGGAAATACCTGATTCTCTTCTATTTTCATGTGGAAATTCTAAGTTTATCTGTTGCTGCTATTTGAGGGTCCTAGTAGCTCAGGTGGCAGTTAATTAGGGGGGAGGAGGGAGAGAAGGGCCTTTTTTTCCTTCTTTAAGGTGAAAAAAATGTCTACCTGTGATGTGTGAGATTCTCTGGCCAAGAACAAAACTGACATTTTGCTGGCCTTAAGCTTGTTGTTGAACCAATTATTTCAATCTCATTTTATATTCCTTTGGAACTAGAATTGAGAGTGTAAAAAAAGGAAGGAAAGCACAATCTGTTAGAAGCATAAAACCAGCTCCTCACCCTCCTCCACAAAAAGGGAGAAAATAGGCCTGAGTTGTTCTTCAAGTAGGAATGTTCTTGCAGTGCTTGAGAATGTACGCAGTACTAAGAGGAAGGGGAAAACATCGATTCCAATTTTTAAAATTTAAATCATTTTTTTACTTTCCAATTACAGCCGACATACAATTTTATGAGTTTCAGGTGCACACCCAAGTGATTAGACATTATATAACTTACTAAGTGATCATCCTGATAAATCTTGTACCCATCTAACACCACACAGAGTTATTAGAATATTATTATTGAGTATATTCCCTGTCTTACTTTACATCCCCATGACTTTCTGTAACTCCGCATTTGTACTTCTCAATCCCGTCACCTTTTTCACCCATCCCTCCTACCCCCCTCTCATCTGGCAGCCATCAAAATTATTCCAGTTTTGAAAGCTCACAGAGTGCATGTGTGGGAGTGAGAGAGACACTTACATCTGTTCATTGCTTTCTCTTGCTTCCTCTCTGCATAGTTCCCTCCCGTGCCAAACATTCTCACATTGGTTTTCCCTTCCTCACTCATTCAAATGCACATATGACTGATGCTCAGAAAAGCACCTCTACACCAACAGGTAAATAACTCACGTGTACCAGTATATCCATAAGTATATTCATTGCCGCATTCATTTAATCCAGCAAACATGAGTACCTGTGATGTGCTGTGTACAATGCTCTATACTGGAAATGGAAAGGTGTGTAAGGCATGGTTTTTGTCCTAAAGAGCATATAACAACAGACCTATACAGATAAACACTGAATTGTAAGCCCAGAGGCACACACATAAACATTTGTAATCCTACAAACATATAAGTACGTGTATACCCACTGATACGTGTATATACCAAAGTATAAAAACAATTCATAAATTTCACAAAGTTCTCAAACTATTGATACGAAAATATTTGGGGGGAGGATCTCCATTTTCCTGTTTTTTCTTTGTCAGTTTTTTCATCTCCTTTCAAATTCTAAAGTTGACTTTACAGTTTCATTCTTTTTTTATTTCTTGCCTTTAAAAAAGTATTGCTTTAAGATGAATAATTCCAATGCGGAAACTGAGAAAAAAGATACATTGCCCAAGTTAAAAATAGGTAAAGTACCTTCTCAGGAATGTAATCTTTTTATACTCAGTTGACACAAGGAAAAGACTATTTATTTATTGATACTTTAATGATGTCTTTCTTGTAATGGGTATTTTGAACCATGAATTATGAAATCATTCCATTCTTTTTAATTTATTGTAGGTATTTGAAGAAAGAAGAGCACTGCTTGGAAAATGGGTAACCATTTGAAATATACTTATTTCTAGCCCTGGCTGGTGTGGCTCTGTTGGTTGTTCTATATTTGAAACAGATAAAATATACTTACTTCTATATTATGTTAAGTTGCCATAGAGCCCAAAGAATTCAGTTTGGACATAAGGTAATCAGTGATAATTGCTCATAACCTGAGAAGCTTTACTGGTACTTTCTGTACAGTTACAGTCATCAGGAAAATAGAAATTATACTGGTAATTTTAATAGACATAATTAAATTTATTGTTTTTAATTTTTATTTATTGATTTGAGAGAGAGAAGGGAGGGAGAGAGAGAGAGAAACATCAATTTGTTGTTCCACATATTTATGCATTCATTGGTTGCTTCTTGTATGTGCCCTGACCGGAGATCAAACCTGAAACCTTGGCATATCAGAATGATGCTCTAAACCAAATGAGCTACCCAGCCAGGGCCCAGACATAATTAAATTTAATAAATAGAACTGGTTAAACAACCTTGGAAAACAGAAAAGACAAAAAGGGAACAGTGAGGTGCCATGGAGATAGAACTGCAGGAAGTAGCTTCTTCCAGCTTTACTGATACCTCAGAGAGAGGACCTCATGGAGCTGGGGCCAGCCCTGTTGGGAACCCAGACTTCTGAGGAATAAAGTAAATAGCAGCCAGCTGATTCTTATATAACTGAGGAAGTGCCATGGTTCTGTGAGTGTGGAAAAAATTAGACACTGGAATCAACAGCTGCTGCCAGGGTGAAGAGTTAGGGCGATGCTGCCAGGAACAGCAAGGAAACAAAGGAGTAAAGCTCTGCTACCTCAGTTTTCCTCTAGGACCGCCCTCCCCATTGGCAGCATTTAACAGGGAGTCAGTCAGCCTTCTATACTCACAAGGTAGAATGCAGAAAGGTGAGTTTGGATTTGAGAGACAACTAAATAACCAACACAGTTCATCCATGTGGCTACTTAGCATTCACATACACCCTTATACATATGCTTCAAGTTGTTACAGTAACAACTTTATGCTTTTAGCTAACAAGATACAACTATCCTTTATACAAATGAAGACTTTCTTACTCTTTCCTCAAAGGAGAAACTGAGTCCCAGTGGTCGCTGTCCATCCCTGAGTCATGATCAAAGTATTTATCTCTGGGCAATGTTTATTACCCATCCAGTGACTCTACAGTCCCATAGTCTCTACAGCCTAGGAGAATTGTAAACAGATGGTCATGCAAAAACTTGTACAGGAATGTTTATAGCAGCATTATTCATAAGTCAAAAATTACAAACACCCAAATATCCATCACCTTATGAATGAATAAACAAAAGGTGATACATCCATACAATGGAATATCATTCGGCCTTGAAAAAGAAGGAAATTCTGATACAAGCTACGTGAAATATGAAGGCACTGTGCTTAGTGAAATAAGCCAGACACAAAAAGACAAGTATTGTTGCATGACTCCACTTGAATAAGGTACCTAGAATAGTCAGATTCATAGAGACAGACAATAGAATAGAGGTTACCAAAGGATGAGAAATTATTGTTTAATGGGTACAAGAGTTTCACTTTGAGATGGTGAAAAAGCTCTGTAGGTGGGTAATGGTGATGGCTGCACAACCATGGGAATGTACTTAATGCCACTAAACTTTACACTTAACAGTGGTTAAAATGGTAAATTTTATGCCATGTATATTTTACTAAAAACATTTTAAAGCAAGGGTAAGGAAAAGCAACAAAGTACTGATACATGGCACAGCACGGATGATCCTTGAAAATAGTATGCTAAGTGAGAGAAACCAGATACAGAGGCCACATAATACATGATTCTGTTTACATGAAGAGTCCAGAATAGGCAAATCCATACTGACAGAAAATAAGATTAGTGGTTTCTAGGGGCTAGAAGACAAGGAGAAGAGAGATTGACTGTAAAGGGTACAAGATTTCTTTTGAGGGGTAATAAAACTGCCCTGGAATTAGATAGTGATGGCTATACAACCTTGTGAATATACTAAAAACTACTGAATTGTACACTCAAAATGCTGAATTTTATGGCGTGTGAGTTATATTTCAATTTAAAAAATAAATCAGGATTTCTTTAAAAAAAAACTACTTGAATTTTTAATTCTTGATATATGTAATAAACTTGAAATATTCCATCTTTTAAAAAATATGTCTTTATTGATTTTAGAGAGGGAGGAAGGGAGACGGAGAGATAGAAACATCGATTGGCTGCCTCCTGCACGTCCCCTACTGGAGATCGAGCCCACAAGCTCGGCATGTCCCCTGACCGGGAATTGAACTGGTGACCTCTTGGTGCATGGGTGGACACTCAACCAACTGAGCCGCACTGGGCAGGCAAAACTGTCCATCTTTAAAGCATTCAAAGCCTTCTTCCTTAAGGGACCATCTCTGACCCAGAATATAACAGTAGGCAGTATGTTCTTTCCTGTGAGTTACTGAAACTCATTTTTCTAAGTGTCTTGATCTTTTCAGGCTGCTATAACAAAATATACAGCTTATCAACAACAGAAATGTATTTCTCACAGTTCTAAAGGCTAGGAAGTTCAAAATCAAGGCCCTGGCAAATTCGGTGTCTGGTGAGATCCCACTCTCTGGGTTACAGACGTCTGCCGTTTCACTATAACCTTACATGGCCCAAGGGGTGAGGGATCTCTCTTGGGTCTCTTTTATAAGGACACTCGTCCCATTCATGAGGGCTCTGCCCTTATGACCTAATCACCTTCCAAAGGCCCCACCTCCTAGTACCATCACCTTGGGGATTAGGTTTCACCAGATGGATTTGGGGGGGACACAAACATTCAGTCCATTGCACTAAGACTAACATACAGTACTATTTCTTACTGTTCTTGTTTATCTTAGTTGGTCACCAGTTCTTATCTGTGTTGGCCTACAAGCTTCAGTCTAAAGATATTTATTAACCTAAGCAGAAAAAAAAAATCATAGAATGTCTCTGGAAGGATTCACGAGAAAAGGGGTAACATTGTTTTCCTCCATGACAGGGAACTGTGAGTCTGAGCAGGATAGAAGAGAATTTTTTTCTGAATAGCTTTTCACACTTTTTGATATTTTTAATCATGTGAATGTATTACCTATTCAAAATAATAATAAAACTTTACTAAATAAGTTAAGAAATTAAAATTACCAAAAATTTATGCCTGGCTTGAATGGCTCAGTTGGTTGAGCGTTGTCCTGTGCACCAAAGGGTTGCCAGTTTGATTCCCAGTCAGAGCACATACATGGGTTTTAGGTTTGATCCCTGACCTGTTTTTCTCCCCCCCCACCCCCGTCTCTTCCTTCCTCTCCTAAGCATGTCCTTTTGTAAGGATTTTTTAAAATATCAAAAATTTTAAATGTCGCTGAGTTTTTCTCGTATTCTATGTGTGTTTTTAAATTAACTTTACATCTGTTACCAACAACTTAAAAAGAGACTTATGTAGAATGACTATTTTTACACCAGCCATCATTTCACTTACTATTAGTGGAAATTCCTAAATTGATATAACCAGGGCTAATGTTCAGCCAGTATTTGGTGTGGCTGACTAATTTCTGTTAGTTTTGATTGGTTGATGGCATTTCCAATTATTAAATATTTTTAATTTCACCCTGGATAAGATCTTCAAACATTTTAAAAGATCTTATTTATTTTTTCTTTTACAATAACTAATAGAAATAACCATTTGCAAATATCACCAATTATCTATCTTCTCCAGTAGACTTATCTATGGGGGGCAGACATGGTTCTATTCCTTGTTACTACCAGGCATTTAATAAATATTATCTAAATGAATAAATGATACTCAGTACTTTTCTTTTTCCCCCAAGAACAAACTTATTCTTTAAATTCACTAGATCATGTAGATTTTTTGTTTGTGTATTTCATGAACAACATAAGAGACTGATAACATAAGAAATACATTTTCAAAAAAAAGAATGGAGAAATAAGGATACCAATTTTTTTCTTTTTACTTAGCATTACTTGGGATTTTCATTGTAAGAGTCGGGTATTGGTTTTAAAGCTCAATCTAGTGTTAGAAGTAAAGTCATTTTCAAAAACAGTCTGGACATTATGAGGTAAAGTGTAATACGAAACCTATTTAATGATAGACAATGCAAAAGTATTTTCTGTTTGGCCATTGAATGTCATTTTTGTTCACACATTTGCACATGATCCTATCTGTACAGTAACAAACAAAATAATTAAAAGAAACTGAAAGGCTCTTCTACTTTTACTGTTCGTGCTACTACTTAATCCCTTATCTCAAATCTCTGCCCTTCAATCCATTAGAAAAGAAATTGCTTCCCATTCAACAGAAAATAACAGCAGAAATATTTTAGTTGAAAAGAAAGCATCTCACATTTTTCTCAGCTTCTGTGTTGTTAACAGAAATAACAGAAATATTATAAAGAATTTGAAAAAGTAGATGGCATTACTTTGAACTTGCTAGAAGCAAACATAATCACAGTTAAAATTCAAAAGAGAAACTGGGAAATATTTTGCAAATTACATGCTAGATAAAAATTAATATCTGGGAGATATAAAGAGTTCCTACAATCAATAAGAAAAATACAAATACTCATACAGAATAATAGGCCAATAGAAGAATGAGACATATACGACAATATACAAATGGCCAATAAGCATATAAAAGATGCTCTATTCCACTAAAATTAGAGAAGCACAGATTAAACAATGAGATACCCAATTCCTCTCTATGTTTATGTGGCAGAAATTAAAGAGACAGATAATATCCAAGTAAGGTTCGCTGGTGAATAGGAGGATATGCTTAAATACAATTGGAGGGAATATAAAAATGGTAAAGACGTTTAAAAGATAGTTTGACAGCCTGGCCGGGCGTGGCTCAGTGGTTGAGCATCCACCTAGGGTCCAGGCGATCCAGTTTCGATTCCTGGTCAGGGCACATGCCCGGGTTGCGGGCTCGACCCCCAGTAGGGGGCGTGCAGGAGGCAGCCGATCAGTGACTCTCATCATTGATGTTGTTTCAAGTCTCTCTCCTTTCCTCTCTCTGAAATCAATAAAGATATTTTTTTTTTTTAAAAAAAAGATAGTTTGACAGACTCAATTAAATTTTTAAATGCAGATATCCTTTGAATCTGTAATTCCATTTCCATTTAGCTGTACTAGAGAAATGTTCACAGGAAACATGTTCTAGGATATTGCAGAGTTTTTGTTTTGTTTTGTTCTGGTTTTGTATCAGAAATAACCTAAATGATATTGGCAGTAAAGTGAGTAAATAGATCATCGCATATCCATCCTACCATGAATGAGCGAGAAAGCAATACGCGCTGGAGTTCATTACATATCAGGTTATTTGTGGCTATATTTTGTTTGATTTTTGAACTTCTGTGTAGTATTCCACAGAATGGGTATACTCTACTTTATCTAACTGCTTCCCTAATGATGGATATATGTGTAAGTAAATGCATAGAAATGCACAAACATCAAACTGTGAACAGTAGTTATTTCTGGGGAATGAAGTGAGTGAAAATTAATAAGGAGGAGTGGTTAAATAGGATTTTCATGTTTGGTTATATTCGTACCTATTTGAAACTTTTAAAACAAGAATATATTCATACTTTAATTGTGAAATTAAGTTTTTGACAATAGGCCTCAGGAACTCAACCGGATTAAGATAATATAACCAATAAGCAGAAAATAACAAGCCTCCCTCTTTATCTGAGGAGTTTATCAAAGTCCCTCACGCCCCATGAACTTTGCCTTGCCATTCAGTGTGAGCTAAATGGATGTCATCTCTAGCAAATGTCCTCACTTCCAGAAACTGCAGCAAGAATCCTTCTAGTATTCCCACTACAACGCAAATAGGATTTTCACAGTTCTGTTGAGTTAAGAAAGCCCTTTAAAAAGGCATTAAAGTAATTATAAAATATAAATAGGATTTAACATAACATAACATAATGTAATGTAAAAAGTGAAGTGTGAAGTGAGGTACCATAAATGATACCAGGGTAGGAAAATGGTCCTAGCTGTTCCCCAGTCTCACATATTGGATCGATGGCCACTATGCTATGGGTATTTTTCCTTGAGAGATGGTGCAAGAGATGTGGGAGATTACCAAATTGCTGCACAGTTAACTACCATGGATTATTTACTTTTTGAATTATTTCTAGTACCTTTTAAATGCCAAAGGGATTTTCCCCAACTGTTAAGCATCCTTCTGAGTCATCACTTTCAATTGGTAGGAGTTCAAGGAATGCAAACTCGTTTTCTGTTTGCCTAAACAAACACAATTAGAAAGGAAAATCCCTCGAGGCAAAGAACACTTACTGGAGCCAAATTTAAATTACCTTTGACCTGTTGTAATCAGGGAAATGAGAAACCAAAGTAATTGTCTTTTTAGCCTCTAAAGAAAAATGTTTTCATGTTTTCCCATATAGATTTCATCATCACTTTATAATCCTAATGTTCTTTTATATTCATTTTAAATCACGCCTTCAATTTGGGCCCATTTTCTTTCAATGGGCATCAATGAAAGTAGATGAGAAAACCTCAGCCACTTTCCATGTATTTCCCATCCTTGTCTATGTACGAACATGGTAATTTTATGCTTTTTAATTTAATTGTTTGCATATGTTTTCTTTTTACATTGATTTAGCTTGCATACTTATTATTTTTAACTTCACTAAGATAGTTTATTATAATATCTGCCACGTCTACAATGAGTCAGGCGCTCTATTAGGAATTGTATACATATATTATTTTATTTACTTCTCACAATACCCCTACACTGTAGATATAATTATTATTAATGTATAAATGAGGAAGTTGAGGCTGAGAGAGGTTGTTAGTGATGGAACTGGGATTTAGTAATTTATTTCTAATGAGTATTAGATATAACAGAAGATTATAAGACACCCAGTGGTCTCATTCCCAAATGCACCATCAACTTAATGCCACACTTTCTTTTATCCCATTGATCTATTAGTTTGCTTGGCTGATCCCCTACTTTTAGGCATTTTGGGTTATTTTCTGATTTCTTGCATTGATGATAATATCTCAGGGAAACTGTTTTGTAACCGCAATCATCCTGTGTCCCCATGAAGCTCAGTTTCTACAGAGCCACATCGCATTGTCTGAAAGTAATTTAAAAATTCCAATTTTCATTTTGTCTCTCAATGAAAAAAATCCCAGTTTCCAGTTCAAAACTCTTAATACTTCTCAGATTTCCTTCCTTTGTTCCTCAGTTCACTCACACTCTATAACTGCTATCAAGGCAACAACAGTACCAATCCCCAAACTCCCAACAAGCCAAACCCCAGAGCTCTTCTGCCTCCTCTGACCTCCCCTTGGCTCTTCATTTTATAGATCAGTGCATCCTCTTGGGCCTGGCTCTTCCCCTGACCCTAGCCATTCTATTCTGGCTTCTCTCTGTTCATTCCAATAATCCACCCCAAAAGAAAGAAGTTGGAGATATGGACTGTGCAGAAACGGATAGGACAAATCAGGAAACACACCTGAATACATTTTATTCATTTATTTGTAAGTTAAAGTTTTGGTATTTGATTCACTTTAGAATTTCCCCCTCTTGAATTATAGTCTCACAAGTGAGATTTGTGGGTCATCGAATATATCTATAATAGTGAATAGTTTAAATCAAGAAGTATTCCTACTAATTAAAAAAATACATTGTATGGCTAGAATGAAGCTGACTACAACACTTTTGTTTTATATGCCTTTTTAGTTAGTCAGTGTATAACTAAAGTTCATTATAAAATTCTGATTACTTGATAATAGCTGTAATAAATATGTGAAATGCAATAGTATACAAAATACAAGTAACCCCAAACTTCTCTATTTTCTCTAATGGGCAAAAGAAGAAAAGAGAGATTTGGACTCCGGTAAAGTGGCTCATTCAGCTGGTAGGTGTTCCCGTAGAGCCTTCCTTTGGGTTTTAGCCAACCCACAAGTTCTTATCTTTGATCAGTCACTGATCTTGGGACTGATTTAGGGTTATCTCTGGGGAAAATTGTGAAGTAACCGACGTTTGGTGTGCCCCCGCTTACTTTGGCATCTACTTCTTGTCCCTGAAATTCTTTTTATCCAGGTCCTCTTATTGCTAGTTCCTCTCCAATCACATCAATCATTTACACATTAGTGGGACTTCAACCCAATATGCTCCCCTTCTCAGGGATATTTGCATTGTAATACCTTATTTCCAACTGTGAATGCAAAGGTTTGTTTCTGGTCTTTGAGTTTAGCTCTTACCAGCTAATACACAACTCTTTGGGAGGAGAGGGGCTGCCCAGGCACCTTCTCTTGACAATTATGTTATAAATATATGTTTTCTCAGTTCATGAATATCGCCAGCTCCCAACCTACTGTTCTAATTAACTGCACGTTCTGAGGTCAAGTGCACTCTGTGCACACTCAGATCTTGCACAGGTTCACACATATAAATGTGAGAAAGGGCATGTAGGTGGCAAAGTGTGGAATTTACTATTAGGGAAAGAAATACATGCTATTCATTAGGAATAAATTACTAAACTCACCTTCTCTGTCATTTTTATCTCTTTTTCATAATGAATCCCTGGCGTCAGATTAAACGTGGAGTTTTTTATTTTCTTTT